CATCCGTCCTGTCGGCGTGACGGCTGCACGCGCCGACTGATGGCTCTGGTTCCAGCAGCAGCAGGAAAACGCTGAGAGGACACAGTGACACTTTGGAGAAGGAGGTGTGTTGACACTGAGGGGAAAAGCTTTCAGCTGAGGGAGGGGGAGGACAAATGGACTCTGACTGAGACATTATTTTGCAGGGGAACAGTCAAAGTGTCCTCCCACAGCTGCAGCACGCCGCTCCTGATGGACGTTTTAATGTTTCTGCGTCCCCACACTCAAACTGTCCAACTGTCTCTCTCTCGGAAAACTTTCACTTCATGTGAGGCATTATTCGCTGGCTGGGGAGACTACATTACCCACGAGGCTTTGAGGGACAGGAGGAATTAAGACCTCTGCAACCTGAACCTCAGTGACCGGGGGGTTGAAATCCTCCACAGCTCAGAGGAATCACTGTTACAGCTGGATTTTAATGAGTCAGAGGTGACCGGGGGGGGGGGGCTTCCAGCAGAACTTCTCCAGCAGGTTCTCGGGTTCCTCTGGAGTTTCTGCTGGTCTGTTGTCATTGAAACGGCTGCAGGTTTATTGGTTCTACGTTCGAATGATCCAGACCTTGGAAGCCTCACAGGAGATGTTTAGATCCATGTTCTCCTGGTTTTCCTCTGCAGCATCTCCTGTCAAACTGAGGATGAATAAATAAAACTCTGCTGTCAGGGTCACATGTTCAGGAAGATACAGACAGCTGATCCGTCTCTGGGCCAGATGATCCCATCACTGACTGAAACCTGATTCTGGAACAGAACCACAAGCTGAAGAGGCCCCTGTGGCCCCGGTCCTTCAGAGAAGGACAGAACGTTCAGCTGATAATCAGAAGTGGAATTTCATCCAACTCAGTCTGGATTCTAAATGGGTTTCTGGGTTTGTCCTCTATGGGACACCATAACTCAGTCCCCTCAAAGTTTGTCTGAGGAACATGTCCACAGAGTAAAGACGAGTCTCCGAGGGTTACAGAACCAGCAGGAAACAGTGGGAAAAAAAGACTAGAAAAGACGGAGGACCATGAAGATCCTCACTGCACTGCAAGGGAAACAGCAGATCAGAACCGATCAGAACTTTCTGCTCCACAGAAAGACTTTCCCTATGACATCATGCTGGTAACTACAGTAGACCCAGTAGAGAGCTGCTTCTGGATCAGGATCAATCGGGCTGCATCTAAAATCTCTGTTATAAGCGAGCTGATATAAACGCTTCTGCTTAACCGAGTCAAGACCTTATTACCTTTGTAACATTAAAAAAATTGATGTTTTGATGGCAAAAATAATGTCAAATGCCAACTTTCCCAAATATATTAAGAAAAATAGCCAAAGTGCTTCTATAAGAAATTCATGAAAAACACTGAGAAAAAAAAATAAACTATTTTTTTTTTGGTCCAACACAACATTAGAGGCATTAATGCTGATATTGGCACTTAAAATTCAATTCAATTCGATACAATTGTTAACTAGGCTTATTAACTTTTTAACTTTACTTTTTAACTTTTCAATTAGCTTTTTTTCTTGACTTGTTAGGTGTTTTTTCAACTTAATTTACAGTAGATAATAATTCAAAGGCTCGTCTAATTGGTTGACGGGGGGTGGACTTCATTTGTAAGGGGTATGCAAGTGATAACAAAACTGTAACTTGCCCTATAAAGGGTTAAAGTTCCTGTAACGTTAATAACAAATCAATTGTTCTAATAATTACAGTTCTTTGATCAGTAATATCACCGACCAACCCTTTCCTAATACGCAATACCACTAAATCAGAAAACTGTATGATTTATACGGCTATATTGACTCACTATTGGTAACGGTCAAAACTCAGAGCTGCAATGTCTACATTAGAAATGAAAAGAGTCGGTTCTGGTCCAAAATCTGGTTCCATCCTTCCACAGGGTTACGGCTGGACATTTTCTATCCCGTGGCTCAGTGGTGGAACAGATGGAGCTTCTCTGTTGGGTAGATATAAAGAAGCCCAGAGGCAACAAAGGAAAAGATTCAGCTGAACTGATCAGAACCAGACTGAAACAGAAAGCCTGAAAAGCTGCTGATCCAGACCACTTCACTGACTTCAGGATGAAGGTTGGTTCAGGAATCGAGATAAAAAAGGAAACTAATCAAACCCCCTCATAGGTGTTATTACAAAGACTGAACTTAGACAAAGCAGAAAAAAAAACAGCCCAAGTCCAGATAAAACCAGAACCTGGACTCTCACCAGTTCA